TTAAGACGGTGAAATGGAATAAAACAAAAGTTTGCAGAGTGCTTTTCACCTGCCTGCCTCACACTGACTGGCTGATTGATTATTTTTGCAGGTTCTGCTGACCACAGGATGATGTACCGACTAAACCTTACAACCCTCCAGGACTCAGAGGTCATCCTCTCTGCCACATTCCACTTCCTGCTGAACAGACACTCGTATCAAAAACCCTGGTTCTGTAAACGCTTCAAGAGCTCAACCTGCCGCTCCTCAGCCGTGCACCCTTCTCTGTCTATCAGCTTGCTCCTTTATTCCTTCTCCTCTGGGTCAGAGGTCAGATCTGGGTCAATGGGGTCATTTCTAGGCAATGTAACCTTCCACCCCCACAGGAGAGGGGTGTGGCAGATGAAAGATGTGACCCAGGTCATTAAGGAGGCGCGGGACAGGGGTCATCTGTTGGTGTCAATTGAACTGGAGTTAAGGCAACAGTTCAGGACGAAACCAGAGGAGATCCTCTCTGCTGGCAGTATGCCCTACCTGTTACTGTATGCAAATGACCAAGCCTTAGACGAGCCCAATAGTGTGGCTGCAAGCCTACAGAGATATGACCCGTTTAACGAGGGAGGAGAGCCCTCATATTCCTCTCAGCTCCTGCACAGACCTAACTCCTCACCAGAGGTGAAAGGACGCGTGAGAAGGGAAGCAAATCTGCTCTCTGACCCCATCCAGAACAATGAGCTGCCCGAGGTTGACTACAGACCTGATTCATACAGGAAAGATGACCTTTGGAAGAGCACATGGTACCTGACACTCAAACACAAGACTAAACCAGGAAGGAAGGAAAAGAAGAGGAAGAGCGAGGAGGAAAAAGATGTGGAGCAAGTTAGAAAAGCGCATGAATCTCAGGTTTTGAAAGATGGAGAAAGAACATCACAGGGCATCAAAACCAATGATTCAACTGTGGAAAATCTCAAAAATAGCCACAAACTGACTGTCAGTGATGGGCAAATGCATGAGAGGAGAAATGAGGGAAAAGATGGAAAGAAGCACAAGGGAAGCACAAATACACTGTCACCTGTTCTGAGGTTTGATGAACAAACAATGCGCAAAGCCAGGAGGCGGCAGTGGAGTAACACCCAGCACAAAGGCTGTTCGAGGAGGAACCTCAGAGTGGATTTCACAGATATTGGCTGGAATGAGTGGGTCATAGCACCCAAAGCCTTTGATGCTTACTATTGTGCTGGCACATGTGGCTTTCCCATGCCCAAGGTAGGAGCACAATCATCCAAGCCGTGTTATGTAGGTTCTTTTGGTTCACGTGAGCTACACTGATAACCTTAATGTGCACTTTCTAATCTCTCGTATTTATTTTCTCATTTGCATGTTTCTCCTTCACTCAAACTTTTCCAGGTGGTGAAGCCAACTAACCATGCCACCATTCAGAGCATAGTCCGGGCAGTTGGAATTATCCCTGGGATTCCTGAGCCCTGCTGCGTACCAGAAAATATGAGTCCCCTGGCTGTGCTCTACCAGGATGAATCCAGAAACCCAGTGCTCAAGGTTTATCCTAACATGACTGTCCAGTCCTGCTCCTGCAGATAAAAAAGAGCTGGAAACAGATTGAAGAGAAACAGAAAAACTGGACTAACATGGACACAACCATACCTCTGTTAAGCGGTTTCCTGATATTGAAAAACAGAGTCACTTTGGCTGTCATTATTCCTAGAGGAACATAGGCTATAGTGAAATTACTTCCATCTCTTCTGTCCCGGGGCAGCAGAGTTGAAGAGACACATTGTCTGGCATCTGCGCTCGCAAGAGGAACAGAGTCACACATGTAAAGTTGATGCTCCACATGTGTAACAGAAAAGAAATACATAAAAAGCCCAGTAGTTTTCATTCTGTTTGAAATAATATTGATGTTTCATGGACAGAAATATTTAAGGGATTTTTTTTGTTGTTTTTAATGGCAGAATGTACTTATTTTTCAAACAGCTCACAGTGAGTTTGTGTTCACGTTTTCTTTGGATGCAAAGACTTTAAGTAAGAGACTGTTACTGTGTCATCAGGCAGCTTATGCGAAAACATACAAACAGTGGAGATGATGAAAAATGTATGCATTTTTACATACTCTGTATAGCTGTTCCTACTTTTAAACTAATCACGCCACATTGTACATATATGTGACGTTGCAAGATATTGTACTTTATTGCTCTTTATATCTTAAAAAGGAAGTATCCAATGAACTGTGGAGAGCATCTGGAATTCATTTGCACCCACCCGCCCCCTCATAACACTTCAAGAATGTTATAATGAAACCAGAAATATTTTTCTATTTTAAATGTGAAACTTGGTTTAAAAAAAAAGATAATTTCTCATGGTTAGATTATATGTATGATTAGATGAGATTGTACATGTGTATTGTTTAAATTATGAAAAGGTAGCATTCTATAAGTTAGAATAAAGACATAATTTAATCCAAATGCTCTTGCTGGAACATTATTGTTTCACACAGTTTGTTATTCTTGGACATTATCGTGCGTAATGCTTGATTCGTCAGGGTGAACTTTTCTGTCAAAACAATCCTAAAAGGGCACCGCTGTTTCAAAATAGCCGAGCACAAAAGCAGGAAGGTTCCACTCAAAGATAGCCGACATTCCCCGAGAGCCCCCTTGAACCCATTATTACACCTCACCAAAGGCTCATGCGTCTGTTGTTCTTCAAATAATGTGACTGATGCGGCCGCCGCGGGTTAATGGTTGATGGAGGAAGCAGGCAAGCGCATATTAGGACGTCAGACACTTGAAATTCAAAACCCGCTGCACTTCCTCTCTTCTATCCATGTTCAGAAGCAGAGTGCTTCCAAGTAAATGGTTTTCTTTTCTTCAGATTTATTTTTGTTCTTTTTAAACAGATGGCCACAGATAGATGATCTCAACCACTTCAGTTCAACTGCTTGTCGCTTTTATTCGCCGGAGGAGGAAGCTGACCCATGTGGTGCCAAAACAGTGTGTCAAACTGACACTGAAATGACAGAGGGAACCATTTAATTATTAACTCATTACTCTGTGGCTACATTGCCTTGAGTCTCAAAAGTTGGCAGTTTCCACATCTGCTCTCAACCACAAGTGGCTTTGAAGTTTTCTGCGACTGGACAGCAATTTTGTCTCAGAGGCAGAGAAATTTTGGGGAAAGGGGACGCGAGTCCGAACCCTTGTGCTGCATGTAACTGGAGCTATAATAAGTGTGCCATCCCTCCTTCCAGCATGGCTTTTTCCATTGTAAGCTTTTCCCTTTTCCATCCAAGAGTATTCACCCATTTTGGGAAGGTTCTATTGTCTTAAAGCAATGAATCAGAACAAGTTCATGTGGCTTTTTTGACAGTGATCAGCAGGAGAAGATCCTTTAATGTTAAAGTAAAACAAGATATTCCCAAATAAGACAGGCTCATTAAAATCTGTACCAACAGATACAATAGACAGCGATGCGTCTTTTATAAAAGATTGTGAATATTTTTACTCACATGCATTTTATGTTTGTGTCTGCTCTTTTTAGAGCACCCTGTAGAAGCAGCTGAACATTTCCTTTTAGCCAATAAAAAAGGTGGAGGTCTGTGGTACGATGAAACTTGAAAATACAAAGTGTAGCTCTGTTTTACTGAAATTTGAAAAGACGAGATGACAAGAAACACAAAAAGATGATCTTTAAATCCACGTTTGAAGACGTCGGCGTGTGACACAGGAGGGGAGGGAGAGATGCCTGACGTACAAAAGCGTGATTCAGTTTTCTCCACACAAGTGGAAATGTTCAGTAACTGCAAAACCATGTTACGATTTACAGCGCCTAACCACCTTTTAAATTAGGATGATGACTGTAATTAGGGCTTATATAAATCATGCTTACATTAATAGAAGTTGTAGCTTTAAAATAGGCTGGCTTTAATGTAATGAACAAATTCAATTTTTTTTTTTTTGTTCCTCCCCACCAAATTTCTTAACTGATCCCATTTACAGTCTGGACCTACAGTCTGCTATTAGAAAGTGAACCCCATGTCAACCGCAATCATGGTCACAGGAGAGTACTTACAATGGTCAATTCCAACCAAGAAAACCACAGTAGTCTAGGCTCACGTTCAGAGCGCAAAATGCCTAAAAGCCTAAATGAAACGAGGCGAGCAGGGGACCAAGAACAATATTTGTTTTTCCATATGATGACTGTTCAATTAAAGGAGACCAATACAGCCATTATTAGACAACAGAGGATTTTCTGTGTCTGGGCTGAAATAGCTCTTTCCTCACGTGGTTACTGAGTTCAGAGAAGCAATAGTGCTGTTTATTAGAACATGGCTTCAATAGAGTGACTCTTAATTACCCATTTAATCATATAGACTAAGTTTCTTTTTATTGTGAAATCTTATTTTCCTTTAGAAACTCTAAAACCTCCATTTTTTACCAGATTGAAATACGTTTTGGGACCTTTTATCAAGCATTATTTTAGTAGGGAAACAAGTATTTGGGCTCCTTAAATGTAAGTGCTGGTTTAAAACTCAATACATATTCAAAGGAATAAAATTGTCAGAGGATATTGAGCAGTTTTCATGTCATCTACATGTTTAAGTCTCTGTTATAAAAGGTGGATGATGTTCTTCTGATTGTAAAAAAAAAAATGAAGGAAATCTTTTTCCCGGGAAGTTAAACTGACTTAATCAAATAAGACAGAAAACAATGTATGGGGAACTACATCCCTGCTTTTGTTATAGACTGACAGGACAAGGTCTACACTTGACTTTTCCATGAACTTCATGCCTTCTTCTTGGCTCATTTACCTGCAACAGAGAACTATTTATGTCCATCTGTCCACAGCCTGTCCCTAGTGGAAAGTAAGCGGCACAGGATTGGTGGATAAACATAAAATCACAAGTTCAAAGTGGTGCAGTCTACCTGGATTACATCCAAGTCTGCAGATGAATGATAACTCAGAAGTTTATAAAACTAATAATTGATTTTTTTTTTGGAGCAGGCATCCTATTTAAATGAGCTGCTTAATATGGTATTTTTCAGCTCATTTGTTCAAATAGCAGACTAAAATGCTGGATACAGATCTCAAATGCCACAGGAATGTTATACGGGTGCATACACTAAACAATAAACGTGTCTAATATATATTTAAACACACTGAATGATCAATACAGGGCAAATGGTGGTCTCAGTCACCTCCTGTTGGAACTGGAAAAACTGACCCTCTGATTTTAACCCATATGATGATGGAACAAAATACACCACAAGCTTTTATTTCCACTTTATATAATTTTAGATTTTAAAACTAATGTGCATACACACTCAACCCATACCTCCTGTACAATTTAGATCGAGGAAAAAGCAAATGGTCTAAAGAGGATTGCTTTGAGATATTTGTGACAATCATGAGCTGTCCTTGAAACCTCTCTGTCCCTCCTGAGTTCCATAAGGCACAAAATAACTTAACATACTGAACTAGTGGACAAACTGCACTGAGATCAGTTTACACGCACCTCTATCGTCATCTAGTGGACAAGCTGTGATGGGCATGTGTATCCGTTTTGTTATTATACAGCTACCTACATTCAAAGATATACACTAAAGTCTTGCCTTGGGTTGCAGTCGAAGCTTGTTAAATATGAGAAGCATTTAGGTAATAAATAAAGAGTTTCTTTCCCTTCTCTTGTCTCAGTTATGGGATGTCATGTGTCTTGACAGGTGGTGCCGCTCTCGGAAGTATTCGTGGCAGATTGGACAGGTAAGTTTCTCCTCCCTTCTTCTCCTCACCTGAGACTCTGCGGCGAACTCCTTTTTGTGGTGAGAGCGCATGTGAAAAACGAGGTCAGAGGTCATGCGGAAGGACAGGTTGCACTTGGCGCACCAGTTCTGCACCGACACGCCGAATGTGGTAAAAGTCGGAGGAAGGATCGTGAGGGCCGATGTGGTTTGCAGCTGAGCGCCTATGTTTCTAGACCAGTGCTCCGGCGCGTAATGGAAAGCAGTGTTTAATGCTACCGGGGAGGGTACAGTCTGTAAGTCACTGCTCAGGATGTTGGATGGTATCAGATTATTGTATCCCACAGACGTCCTAGAGGTAAATGCATTCGTCATCTCCTCCAGGCGGCTAGAGGGGGCTGTTGAACCTCTGCTGGGGTGAGCCTGGGGGTCAACAGGAGAACTTCTTTTACTCGGTTTACAAAATGCGCTTTTCTGTTCGCCCTGGCTGTTCGATATCACCAGAGAAAATGCACTGTTGCTGCTTAAATGCATGCTAGAGCCCTCCCCTCCTGTCTCCATCCGCGCGTCCAGATCTCTGTCGTGCGTAAAAGTCCACTTGGATTCATCACCTTGAACAAGCTCCTCACTTTTACGTTCCAAAAGATCCAGTTTCAACGTCTCAGCTTTCCGTTTCCCCTCACCTGAAGGGCTGTCTCCTGCTGGCTGGTCGTAACTCTTAGTCGGTGGTGTAATATTATCATCATTTGAAATATTAGTCTTCTCTAATAGAACCGTTTTTCTCCATTTTGGATAAAGAGTTTCCTCATACTTTCTCTTCTTTGGGGAAGTCTCCGCGTCGTCGTTGTTTCCAGTTCTTTTGTGTTCCAAATCTCTGGCAATGTTGTGGAAATCTGTCACTCGGCGTTGCCTCTTAATTTCCACGTGCTTGTGCTCATAAAGCTCGCGGCTCCAGGTGTCAGTCTTTACGTGAGCACAAAAGAATCTGCAGTGAGCCAGGAAGGGATGCTCGTTTTTGAAGACCTGGTTACATCGCCCACATTTTAATTCTGAAAGAAAAACGAAAGACAATATGACGTGACTGTTTTTAATAATTTCAATGATTTTGGAGTGACATAAAATTTGATTTAATCGTGCACATGCATTAAAGGGCAGTCTCACCTTCGTTTGACTCTTTTGCTATTTCGGTGAAGCCCAGCAGATGAGACAGCTCGTGGTCGTACCAGATCAGCAGCTCTTCTTCCTGCCGGATGTCCCGGGTAGTCCGCACGTACAGCTGACCCCCTTTCAAAAAGGCCTCTGTGTTCTGCTCCTCGCCGTTGCGGGCAGCTTGCACGAGCCGCAACCAAGACAGCATCAGGGCAGAATTACGCATGGCCTCAGGATCGACCTGTTGATAGCAACCCCTGATGTTTTACACAGTGTCCCGACTTAGAGGATTTTTATTCTGTCTTTCTAAGAGCCTGCTTGTAAATAATTTAAATAGTTAATTGGTGGCAGATTGCATCTTTTAATGCTGAGGTGATTTTATACACTTTTTTTTCTTTTACTGGTCAGTACAATAACACTCAAAATACAGCTGGTCAAAAACAATCCCATAATAACACAAAAACCTGGATGTAACGTATGACAATTAAAACTATATACATCTGAAAAACCCTTTACTTTTGGAATCATGTCACCGTTGAGTTATATAGTAACTCAGTAAAGATGTTACAAAGTATATCTGCAAGACAGTTTATCACAAATTTGTCATACGCACCCTGAACACACAGGATTTCGCTCTCTTGTCACAGGATTTCTGCGCTATGAAAGCGATAGAGTCGTAGAAAGTGTTCTGGAGCACGCACGGACCGAAGCATGTGCCTGCAGGGATGCTGCGCGCAACTACCACACTGGTGTAGAGATCTGAAGAATGCTGGAGGAATTTACTGTCGCCGGTCCAGATGGACCGAGGCAGGAAAGTATGATCCATCGTTAAACTGTAATGGAATAGTTATTGTTAGTAAAGGTGAAGAATTACTCCAAAATAGTTTTAAAATTCATGTTGTTTAACAGAATGGCAAGATAACCTGGGGAGTAGAGCAATCTCATTATATTTCCTGTTAAAATCAGCCTGGAATAGTAATTATAATTTATATCTTGTCTCAAAAAAGTGCAAGTGTTTTATATGAAACTCAAAAAAGGTTGGATTTGTGCGATGTGCAGTTAGCCGGTTTGGATCTGATCCAAGCACACACAGAATTCCAAAATCGTAATGAAAATAAATTTGCCCAAGTGTATTTTATTTTTCATTTGCTAGTAAAACCGAGGGTACCACTGCGTAGTGAGAGCAGCCGGTGTCGAGGCAAAATGATTACCAACGTCCTTTGTCTCAGTTTTTCACTCGGTTAGTCCTTTTGTCTCCACATCTGCCGTGGAGTCCAGCTGCCTGCTCAACGCGCAGGATAAGTTCAGTATGTTTTCCATAATGTATAAACAGCATAAACGCTCTTAGATTGCGTGACTAATGTTTTCCCTCTCTCCGATCAATTAAAAGTATGCAATCTTTTAGGTTTGTAGGCTATGGTTTAAAATATTGACAGCTGAACCGCACAGCATCATGACAGAATGTGGTACCGATCTAAAAATCCCCGATTTGTTTTTTTGGTTTTTTTCTTCTTCTTCTTCTTTAATGTTGACATTTAAGAGTAAAAACGCACATGCCTGTGTTGCCATGCGAACTCACCCGCCGGACATGGAAGAGGATGTTTAAGCCGTTTGGGAGCCAAGGAAGTTGCAGCAGGTGCAGCGGACCTCGGTGACGAAGCCTTCCCTTTTCTTGCTGACGAGTTACTTATCCGGCTGAATCTTCCTCCGCACTGTCGTCTCTCCCCTCTCCCATTCCCACTTATCCCCTTCAGAGAGCGCACTGAAGCGTGGCGCATTGATGCAAACGCGTGCGCGCTCGCGCACACGCTCACTCGCGCGCCTTCAAATTAGTATTTTATTAGTAATTTTTCCTTTGTCTGGTTTACAGTTCCCTTCCGTGGAAAAGGGAAGACGTGGGTGTTTGTTTGGACAGAACAGTGATTGCTGGTTAATAACGCACATTTATGCCTTGTACAGCTGACCTGAACACCGCTGATGGACAAAAGTCATATTTTCTTATGTTTCATATCAGGTCTCAACAGATTATTTGTTAATTTTATAGTGTTACTAAAACCACAAACTGGGCGAAGCAGCACGCTGGAACAGCCCGCTCTTTTGCCAGCATGCAATTAATCATATATAAATCATAATGTTGTGGTAATCTGTCATGTCATGGTTTTAAACGAAAGACTCGAGTAATACTTCGAGACTGCACTTCAGCACATGCACGCTATGTGGGATTGAGCGGAGAGGTCTTGGTCACGTTTCTGGAGACATTGTGTCTAGCTACGAGAAACTAGTGGAAACTGTCTAATGTGGGCAGTGGGAAATTGTAAAATTGGCCGCTGTTACATGACATGATGCAGGGTGGTCTGGGTTTGCCACCAGGCAAATACATTATTCATAAACTAAATGTTTCTGTCTAATGAGCATTTAATGATCATCAAAGCTTTGGTTTTTGAGTAAATGTCCTGGTAGTTCGTGAGCCAACTTTGTGTAACGAGAAAGTGGGGACGCAGAAGCCTCGAAGGGGGGACTCTTTGGTCGCGCTCCAACTGTCTGGTTAAAGCACTTTTACACTATAGACTAAAAATAGTGTTTTACTTTGGATTAGAATTCAAATTTCTTCCGTTTGTGGCAACGTATCACAATCACAGGAACACTTGGACATCCTTTCAGCAGCACCATGTCCTGTGGATATGACGGTATTGAGCAGCTCTTTGGATTCGTTTTCTTTCATGCACAAATTAAAACAAGCTATGAACTCTTTGATTAACACTATACAATTCACTGACTGCACTGACGAATAGGAGACCATATTCGACTTTAGGCCTTTGGTAACTGGTATATTAGAAAAGACATGGACATAAATTTAATTATTTATGTATAATACATCTGATTTGTGGTCGTCTGATGTTTCCAACTATGAAAAACAAAAAATCAAACCACACTAGTAAGACATGACACTTTTTCCCCGTCCCAGAATCTTTATTTTTGACAAACTGATAAGGCCAAAGAGAACATCCCAAAAACGAGGATGTACACAGCCACTCTCCCCCCGTAACAGTTTTTGAGGAAAATAAAGTGGAGTTTTGTGTGTCTCCTCGGGTGTCGCTCCTCTCCTTCATCCTGCCCAGCTTTAGTGCTTCTCTTTTTTTCCCCCTTCCTCTCTCAATCGAAGGAGAAGACTTGGAGAGGCCGGCTCGGTCTTAACAAGATTCTTCCAGACTGAATGCACTCAAAATAACGTGAAAGAAAACGTAACCAGGAAACGGGGCTGTGTGTGTGCACAGAGTCCATCTGGAAACGGACGATAGGGAGATGTGAAGCTCTTTAGTTGTTGCAGTGCCGGAGTAGTCAACAGTAACCGGGAAAGATGGCGAGGACACGGGCTCGCATGTTCCTCGTCTTGGCTGTAGTTGGAATTTTCTGTCTCGATGTCTCGGTCAGAGGAGAGCTGCAGGGAGAGCAACAGGAGGAGGAGGAGAGGTCCTGCCAGGGCGCCTTCGACCTCTATTTTGTTCTGGACAAGTGAGTCTCGGATATTATTTATTGCTTTGTTAATTTCTGGTCGCTGCGCATTGCCATGCAACCGTGTAGTTGTTTGGAAACGCGGAGCGCGTCAGTCGGACCTCCTGATGTAACGGAGTCTGAGAAAAGCGAGTGAGCGTGTAAAGTCGAAAAAATACCCAGAGTCTTCATTTTAATCAAACTGGCTTTTGCACCAAATCACAAGATTGAATCTTAAATCTGTGCAACGCAATGACTTCACTTAAAGAAACATACCTAAAATCATTTTAACTTGCTGTTTTGTGTCTTCGGGACATGCAAGTAATCAGATTGAAATTTAAGTTGGAAGTATATTCTTGACATCGGGGCATGCTTTTCTTTTTAGTTCGGTTTAAAGTGGTGAGACAAAAAGACCAAGCTTTACCGAGGGGATGTGGGCAGGGCGAGCAGGATGGATAGAGTTTCAGGCTGATGACGCCTGCGGACACAGCTGCTGCAGCTGCCCCATAGCGGTGCTATATGGGCCGGTTATCACTTTAAGCATCGGCTCCATCAAAATAAAGAGAAGAAGCATCAACTAATGGCTTCCTGTCACGACTAGAGTGGGGTTTTGCACTGAAAGCAAACACAACAAAAACATTGTTTCTAATACACCTTTTACACTGGATGTTGGCTCAGCTGATCGTTATATTACTGCTTGATAAACGGTTTCTTAATGCATTTTAGTTAAATGCACAGCTTTGGTGTAAGTTATGAAACATCTTGCATAAGGCGCATCCTCCAGCTGATCTTCTTTGTCATTGCCTGGCTCTTATCATCCACCAGGATGATCATTCAGTCATTTTTTTCTCTGTTTTGTTAAAATTCCACTTTGAACGTTTGCTGCAAAAACTTTGCTGTTTAAAGTAAAGTGGTACTCCTGCATCTTTAGAGAGGTCTTAGAGAAATCCTAAAATGTCCCTGTTTCTCTTTCCAAGTATTTCCTCCTCCTTCTTTTTTCAACTCATAGTTGTCTGGTGGGTGGACAGGAAATGAAGTTTGAGACAGTGGGAATGTCAAACAAAGGTCCCCAGTCTGAATTTAATCCATTACCCTATTACTGACATCAGTACTGTTAGAATAACACCAGGACGCTCTTTAAATATCTTTATCATTATGAAATTCTACAGACTCTTAGTGACTCAAAGCATTTTTTCAGGCCGCATGGTCACTGTGGATGCTTCTGCCACTGTTCTGGCATGTGTAAGCCTGATGATTTTACCCTGCGCTCCAGCTCATGTCGTTTCAGACATTGTAATTGGCATGTTTCTGTTATTTTGGCATGAGCGGCAAGGTGAGATTTATGCACATGGTCACAGACAAGCAAGTCTAAACATGCAACGTAGACAGATACAAGGAGAGAGAATGACAACAAAGCCATAAGGTATGGTTGGATTTGTGACCTCCCTGTGTAAAAGAATAGCAGGTTAGAATTTCAGTGGAATAATTATGTTCTCGACAGACGGAGTGATGTGATTTTGCGGTGAAGCAGCTAAACAATGTGGTATATAACATTTGAAAATATGCTGAGGTAATGGTTAAAAAAAAAATTTCTTTATGTCCTCGGCTGACCCGTGTGCACCACCGCCACCTATGAGCTGCGAGGTGGACGAGCTGAGTGACATTTTACTTTGGTCTCGACATATTTGATGATCTTTTTAATGTTCACGGCAACATCTGTCAGCCCCTCTCTTCTCTCTTTACCCTTTGCTTCAAAAAGTTTAGGAGGAGCCTGGGGAGCACGGCATGTCACGCATGGCTAAACCTCTGATACGCCCCTTTTCTTTTTTTGACTGTCTAGCAAGCTCCAGCAGGCCTTCAGGAAGCTGTTGATCTTTCTCCTGAGATAGCACTGATTTCTTGGCTGATATCAAATGCGACACAATGACTAATATTTAAGAAAGAATAGGGCAAAATCATCTCTAAATTGGACTTCACCTTATCAATACTCATCTTGTTTGCAGGTTTTGCTTTTGCTACACTCTCCAGTAGGTTATGAGACATGCTAAGGGGAGACTGTGTGCACGCTCCACTGTAGCATCTCAGTATACACAGAATAAACATTAGAAAAACGACCATCAGCTTCCTACATTCCTGCTCTCCGTGTCTGAGCCGCACCGAATACCATGCTGCATTTTTTTCGGACTATCTGGTTGCCCACAAATGGAATAATAGGTGTTGTGTTTTATGGCTGGGCTCTGAACAGAGTTTTGTGCTGACCGATCCAAGTGCTTTGGATTGGTTTTGGAAAAGGGGACTGTGCATCTCACAGTTTAGGAATGCAGGTAGAAGACTCAAGGGTAATTACTAAAATTGTAGAAAGATTGCTTTAATTTTCAGCAGAGGAGACGACTTTGAATGCGTTGTGCTTTTTCTGTGGATGGAGAATTGTCTGTCTCAACAATATGTTTTCAAACAAAATGTCAGAAACTGCTTTTTAAAAAATCTACTATATATAAATGTCCTAAAAGGATTTGGGGAAACCTGGCAGATATTTTCATTATCACGAAGAAAAAATGACAACTGACAAACCAGAAGTTCTGTATATGGAAAAGGACTGGTAACAAAAATGAGGCCCAATCATCCTCTCATTGGTTGTAGTTTGCAATGTTAATGTTACCTAACAAGAGAACCCTTTGATTTAGTCTCAGTTTAATGAGCAGTACATGAAACACAGTTTTTACTTTTGGCAGTGTGTCACATAACTTCCTATCCTGCGCACTGGACTAAAACCTCTTTTGTGTATTTGTAACAAAGAGCACCCTGCTTCCTCATGAAGCATATCTTCATATCTTTAGCCTGTAAAATAAACCCACTGGCCCCATATGAGGACACACTTTTTCTTAATATAATGAAATAATGACTTCCTGTTCAAAGATTAAGTTTAGGTTTCATACTTAATCAGGTAAGGTCAAGTAAATCCAGACAGCTCCCAAATAGGAGCTCTGCACCAAGAAAGGATTAAGATGGGTTTTTTTTTACTAGTAAACTTTTGTATCAGGGACTTTTTTATGCCTTTACTTCTTGGGAAAGGGAAAAGTGGAGGAGGCAGTTCTGGGGAAAATAAAAGATTCAAAAGAGCTGTCGTAAATTTGACCAGCTCAGACTTTCACTTTGCTCATGACCCTGTTATGTGTACACACGGATGCCTGACCT